GTCCAGTTTGTCCCCCGATGCCAGGACAAACCCCAGGTCCAGTTTGTCCCCTGATGCCAGGACAAACCCCAGGTCCAGTTTGTCCCCCGATGCCAGGACAAACCCCAGGTCCAGTTTGTCCCCTGATGCCAGGACAAACCCCAGGTCCAGTTTGTCCCCTGATGCCAGGACAAACCCCAGGTCCAGTTTGTCCCCTGATGCCAGGACAAAGACTCCTCAGGAAGACAGTCCTGATGAGACCAAACACCATTGGACATCCATCCCACAGAGTCTTGACTTCCAGACCTGCAGTGGCTCCGCCCCCTCACCGCCCCCTCTGGACGTCCCTCCTCTCCTGAGACGGGCCAGTCCGGTCCGGTCCTACAACAGGAACACCCCCCCGCCCCTCAAACACAAAGACGCTGGGAGTCCTCAGAGGACTGCCACGTGTCCCAGAGACCTCCTGCCTCACTGCTCCTCTGACCTGGACCCGGGGGGCGTGGCCTACCGACAGACCATCCCTCCCATTGAAACGCTGCAGGCTCACCTGAGGAAGGTGACCCCCCACTTCACTCCTCCAGAGACACCCCACAGCTCAGACCTGTCCTGTGTCTCCAGAGGGGACGCAATTAAGACCACCAGTCCAGACTCTTGGGTGTCTCCTGTAGACCTCCACCCACCCAGATCCTCAGGACTGGACTCTAACGACGCACTCCCTGAGACCAGGAGAGCGAGTCCTGAACCTGGGGTTGACCTCCTGTCCCTCATCCCGTCCTCAGGAGGACAGCTGGACAGGAGGACAGCTGTAAACCACGCGGCCTTATCTCCGTCTCCAGTCCAACACCCGGACACCTTCCACCAATCAAAGTCCAGCTTCAAGTGTCCCCAGTCCTCTGACTCCGCCCCCCAGCCTCCTCACGCCAATCACTTAATGAGAGACCTGCAGATCTTTGAAGACCTCCAGAACTCGTTCAGGGTCAGGTCTCCAGACTCCAACACAAACCCTGAACCTGGACCTGGACCCTGACCGAGAGGACGACATGGACGTTTTTGTTTTCATCAAAATCTGTTGAAAAGAGACCAAACTCCTGTTTCTGATGTGAATCACAAAGCTCTTTGTTCTTTTTGAGCCGTTTAACCGTTTTTTATTTTATTATTGTTAAAAAAACACTTTTTGTTAAAGTTAGGATGAAGGACTGGACCCAGATTCTGATCAGACCTGTCCATCAAGCTGTTTTACAATCTGTAGAGAGGTTAATGCAGGTCATTCCAGCTGATGTGGGCGGAGCCTGCAGATAAACAGTGTATAGATAACACTTGTTCTGCAGGAAACAAAGTTCTGAATAAAGGTTTGGTTCATGCAGCTCTTTGGTTTTAACCCCAACAACTGGTTCCAGACCCTGATCCAGACCCTGATCCAGACCCGAGGTCAGGGTCAACGGGTCCTGCTGATCAGTTTTGTTCTAAACGGTTTATCAGATCCTCCTCAGGTGAAGTTTGTGCTTCTCCCCAGCAGGTGGAGCAAGAAGAACACCTTCACTCTTCCTCCTCCTCCTCCTCGGTGGCCCTCAGAAGAAGACTAAGAGGGATAATGAGTCTCCGGGGAGCGTCGGAGGCTCTGCTGCACTAATTAAGCCTATCAGGGTGCAATTAACTGGCTGTTAAACACACACAGTGTGAGGTGGATCAGCGCCAAGTCCTGCCTGCAGACACGCCGAGGACACGTGGAGACACTCATCCTGGTGAGAATTATTAAAGGGACCTGTCTGTGGGGTGGAAAGGGTTACTGCTCTGGTATTAGAGAGTGAAAACTTTTAACGTGTGTGTCACTGTGCACACTTTACAAAAAGGTTTAATATCCAGGAAGGCTGGGCGGTATGACCTCACATTAATATCAGGGTATAAACTGAATCCCTTCATGGTAACTGTATATATGACAGTAAAAAATCATCATAAAAAGCAAAAATAATGTAAATTTTAAAGCACTTATTTAGCAGAAAACTGTGATCAAAGTCAAACCCAGTATTTTTGTTTTAGTGCAAATGAACACAACAGAAGTACAAAAGGTTTTGTATATGTTGCAAAACGGTTTCAACAACAAACAAAAACTTTTCTCAAATTTTCAACAATATCTAAATAAAGTGGATATTATAACCATTACTTAAAGTAAAATTAGTCTTTTATTTATTTATTTATTTATTTTTAAGCCACTTCAGTAAAAAACAGAACTGAATGTTAGTTTCTTCATCATCAGTGACTTTGTTTTTAATAAGAGAAGAAGAAAAAGGAGAAATGTAATGGGGAAGATTGAAAGAGAGACTAGAGAAGATGTGTTAAATATAAACCAAGACAACACACCCGACAACTGTCTGCACACCTGTGAAAATGGAGAAAACAACAACACACCAACAAATAACGTGTATATCATACATACATACATACATACATACATACATATAAAGATATACGTACACATACACACAGTACATACATACATATACCCATACATATAAAGATAGACGTACACATATACATACATACATACATACATACATACAGTGACCGTCAGGAACCCCAGGATCTGAACACCAGTTTGTGTGTGGTTGTGAGCACGCATGATTTTTCCAAAGAAATATTTAATAGTGACTGTTGGGACCCAAAGACCCGACCCCCAAGACCCGAACCATACATAAGGGAGACCAGAGCCAAAGACCCTGAGAGTGACCCCAAGCGCTGAGCCCCCAGGGGCACCAGTGCAGAAAGAGCCACACACCCGCCACCCAGAGTGGACCATAGGAGAGATCCAGGAGAACCCCCTCCAGTGACTCCACGGCCCTCCCCTCCTCCCCAACTCTAACCCAAAACCCTACAAGCAATCCATTGGGAGTCTCACCAGTGGCATGCCTTAGAAGTGCCCACCCCCAAGGCCCTATATGTTCACGACATGAGGATGTTATAAATGAATGTCTATGGTGTACAGTAAAACTGGAGCCCAGGTGGTTACGGCAAACAGAGATACAAAATTGTTGCTCTTTATAACACACCTGTGCCCCTACATGAGTGGAGCTGAAAATGAAGAAGGTGGAGGTGTGTGGTGGGGGATGGAGAGACAAAATACTGGGGGAGCAAAATGCTCCCACAGAGAGTCAGCTCCCCACTGACCCCAGTAGGCACTCCCGTTCCCAGAGACCCACCCAGAGAGTGAGACCCCAATACTCTTCATCTGGACAGACCACCAGACCTGGGGAGCCCTAGACCACAGCCGGACAGAGCCTAGAGGACTGCCAGAAGTGGGATCAACAGTCCACCCACCCCAGAGCCATCCAAACCCCCAAGACCCCACCCCCAGCTCTATAGCCAGCCCGCAACCTGTGACATTTTTCCATGTACCCCCTGTAATCTACCCGTGTACCTTTTGGGGTACACGTACCCCTGTAATCTACTCGTGTACCCTTTGGGGTACACATACCCCCTGTAATCTACTCTTGTACCCTTTGGGGTACACGTACCCCCTGTAATCTACCCGTGTACCCTTTTAGGGTACACGTACCCCCTGTAATCTACTCGTGTACCCTTTGGGGTACACGTACCCCCTGTAATCTACTCGTGTACCCTTTGGGGTACACGTACCCCTGGTTGGGAATCWCTGCGCTACATCTGTCCTGCTGGAATGTGATGTGATTGTGTCATACAGGAAAGGAAGAGCTATAATCTGGTAGTTCAACTACAGATATAATAACTAAAAGAACACTGTTATGATAATTACTCAAATAACTTTTCTTTAAAAACTAAAAACAAAGTAATATTAAAAACAATCTTGAGAAAAAATGCAGCTTTGTTTCAGGAGCGTTTTGAGTACTTTTATCTCATTTTGGTGTTTTCAGTGAGGAGCTCTGATACATTTATTGTAAACATTAGGGTATGGAGATTCTTGCACAGATTTTGTTTATTTTTTTGTTTTGTTTTAACAAAACTGACAGATTTCTTCCCTAAGTGATTGTTTAATTTAAATGTATTATATTTACAGGATTTCAGCTCATTTAAAACTATTTATTTTTGATTATTCCTGAATGACATTTGTCACAGGGCAGAGCTGCAGGTGGAGCCTCTGTAAATGACGGTCAGGTGGTCTCTCTCAGTTTTGTTGTGTGCGTGAACACACAGTGTTACAGTAGAAATACTGAGAGCTGCTTACATAAATATAAAATATATAATCCTCAGTGGAAAACAGTCCAGGAAACACTGACGTTATTCCTGGGAGCGTGCTCCTGCCCTGAAGGCTCGCTTATAGTCAGGCTTTGAGTGCTCATGCAGGGCACGCACACMGTCGCCAGAGGTGGAGGTGCTTATGTTGTAATGCAGCAGTACACTTTATAAATTTTATTTTTTATTTAACTTATGAAATGTAAATAGGAGATCAAACGCTTGAGGAACAAACTGGATGGTGCTCCACACGGGCAGCGTTGGAGTGAGTCGAGGCTAGCAGCGAGGCAGCACGCCCCGCCCCGCCCTGCTCTGATCTGATTGGGTACAACTTTGACTGTGGCTCTTCCTATTGGTTGAAAGAACYGTCCGTTTAAATCTAGTTTTTTTTCTTTAATTTTTACGAGTGACGGTCAATGGAGGAGAACTTTACAATCAGGAGGCTGGCTCTGGTTTTGTTGTCCCCTAACCTCTGATCAAGCACATTAAGCACCCCCCCATGATCTCTAGCGCCCCCCAGTTTGGGAACCACTGCAATACGGTATCAGAATGGTATATTTTTACACTTCTCATCCAACCACAATCAAATTCACTCTATCCGATGGTTCCATGTACACTGTATCGCCAAAAGTATTATTCACCATCCAACTGACTGCATCAGTGCACAAAGTAAGGTCCATAAAGACATGGATGTCAGAGTGTGGTGTGGGTGAACTGGACTGGTCTGCACAGTCCTGACCTCAACCCCATAGGACAGCTTTCAGATGAATGAGAGCAGCGACAGAACCAGGCCTTCTGTCCAACATCTGTATGTGACCTCACAGATGTGCTTCTGGAAGAAACACTCGTAAAGCTTGTGGACACCTTCAGAAGAGCTGGAGCTGWTCTGGACCAACCTCATGTTGGACCCTACGGATCAGGAATGGGATGAACCTGAAGCTTAGATGTGAGTCGAGGCAGGTGAGACCATACTTTTGGCGATATAGTGTGTCTGGATAGATTT